ATCCAACGGGCCGTCTCCTTCCACTGCAGCTCCTGGTTCTTGTCCACGATCAGCTCGTTCAGCTCCACAAAGACCTATGCCGAGAGAGCGGGAAAAGGTGAGAGCGACGCTCGGAGTGCCAGGGGGAGGGACGCCGGCTAAAAGACTCCCCCTCCCTCCGCCGAGAGGACCTCATTTCCGGGAATACGTCCGTACGGGACCCTCGCCGAAAGTCCCTCGCAGGCCTCTGTTGGCGGGAATACGTCCGTACGGGCGATCCCCCGTCTCAACCCGGGACTTTTGTCCTCCCCTCTCCCTCTCTCCCCCGCCACCGCCGCTCACCTCGTGGGGCTTCCGGTCCTGCTTCCGCAGGCGGGCGCTGGCCTCTGGCCGGTCCTTCCCCAAATGGACCACCTGCCCTTTGGTGCTCTTCCGAACCAGGTGCCGGCGCACTCCGGGGACGTCCTCAAATCGGTGACCTTGAGGGATCGGAGGGAAAACAGGGAGGGGAACGTTGACGGGCCGTCCAAATTCGTCCCCCTCCCCAAATTCGCTCACGTTCCCCTCCCAGTCAATGAGGAGGGAGGTCTGGACCCGCCGCTGGGCCTCCGCCTCAGCTCCGATCTCGGACGGATATCGGACCCGGATCGAAAACACAGCGGAGGCGTCTATGTCCGAATACGATCTAACTTAAGACTTGCCAAAGGGACGCCGCTGGGCCTCCGCCTCGGTTCCGATTCCGGACCGATGTCGGACCCGGATCAAAAACGCAGCGGAGGCAAGTCTGGCTCCCAACGCAATCCAACTTACGACGCCCCGGGACGCCGCTGGGCCTCCCCTCCCCATCTCCCGCCATCTCAACCCAACCCTGATGTGGCCCTCGATGAAATCCCCGGTGTCAAAATCCCCTCCGTAAAATCCCCGCCGTTGAAATCCTCGGCATCGAAATCCTGGCCGTCGAAATCCTCTCCGTAAAATCCCCACCGTCGAAATCCCCTCCGTGAAATCCCCGCCGTCAAAATCCCCTCCGTAAAATCCCCGCCATCAAAATCCCCTCCGTGAAATCCCCGCCGTCAAAATCCCCTCCGTGAAATCCCCGGCCTTGAAATCCCCTCTGCGACAAAACCCCCCCGCACGGCGTCATTCCTCGTCCGGCGCTTCTCCAAAACGCTTCCCCCCTCCCCCTCTTTCTCCGCCCTTCCCGCTCCTCACTCTTCATGTAATCCAGGTCGGCCGACGCCAAGGTCAGGGCCTCCGATTCGTCCGTCGGCACCTTCTGGTAGCGGGCCTGCTCTATCCCCGTCATGCTGCCGATGCGCCGGCGTTCGTTCAGGTTGTAGCTGCGGTGGGCTGGCGGCGGTTTGGAGAGCGGCCGCTCGGTGGGGGAGGCGCCCTCGGACGGGCCGGCCTCGTCGAACTCGGAGCTGAAACATACGACGCAACCGTTCAATCCCGTCCCTGTTGTCCTTCCTTCTACGACCTCGCCATCTCGGGGGTGATTGCGGTCGTTAAACAGGACGGACACCGCCAACGACCCCGCGGGGCTCTTCCAAAACCTCCCTCCCCCTCCCTGGAAAGGCCCCCTCCCGTATTCCGGACCCCCGCGACCGCCCTGTCGTCCCTAATCTGCGCCTTGTTCAATCCCGTCCCCGTTGTCCTTCCTTCTACGACCTCGCCGTCTCGGGGTCGATTGCGGTCGTTAAACAGGACGGAGACCGCCACCAATCCCGCGGGTCTCTTCCAAAACCTCCCTTCCCCTCCCTGGAAAGCCCCCCTCCCCTATCCCAGACCCCCGCGACCGCCCCGTCCTCCCTAACCTGCTCGTTTTCGCGGCTCCGTCCATCGGGGGACTCCTGGTCGTTCGCGAGGATAGAGGCGGGAATCCGTCCGGCTCCGCGGCGAGCGGGCTCTGCCGTTCGGCGGCGTCATCCTCCTGTAGGAAGAACTGGCGGCGCCAAAGTGGGGGGAGGAGTCAGTTCCGGCGGGGACGAGAAGCCCACTCCTCTCGCCCATCCCACTTTACGACGGGTCCGTACCTGCACCCCTTCCGGGGAACTGTTGGCGAGGAGCTCGTCCGGGGTCGGGTCGGTTTCGGTGTCGCCGGTGTCATCCTCGCCTTCCTCGTCTGGGCCCCCTTCCGCCTCTTCTTCGATGGTGGGGGTCTTGCCGGACGCCGAGGGGGTCTTCTTCTTCTCCTCCTCTTCCTCTTCCTCCTCCTTCTTCCTCTTCTTCTTTTTCTTCTTCTTCTCGTTCTTCGATCCTTTTCTCCTCCGTCCGTCAGAGGGCAGGTGGGCGGAGAGCGGGTGGTGGATGTGGTGGGAGGACTGGCGGTGGTCTGCGGAAGAGGGAGGGGTCTGCTGGGGCGGGAAGAGCTCCCCCTCCGCCCCCACCGTAAGGGTTTCCCGCTCCAGCAGGGGTGGGGTTGGACTAGATGACCTCTGAGGTCCCTTCCGACTCTGACCCTTCTAGCTTCCTTCTTCCCCCCCCGCACGACATCCGTCGGGGTCTCGAGTCGGGGTTGGTCTGGATGACCTCCAGGCGCCGCCTCCACCTACATTCAAAATCCTCCTCGCTGTAGCTCCGTCCGGCTTCCTCCCCGCCTCGCGGGGGCCGGGGCTGCTGCAGCAGCTCCTCGAAGCGCTCCACCCGCAGGGCCCGGCCGAGGTCCTCCTCCGCGGGCTCCTCCAGCTCTTCCTCCTCCTCCTCCTCCTCCTCTTCCTCCTCCGGCGGCTGGCGAGGGAGCAAAAAGAGCGGGTCAAGGGGAGGAGGAGCAGGCCCGGTTTCCCAGCCAGGCACACGCACACATGCACACACACTCACAGATGAACACCCACCCACCCATGCACATGCACAGGCACGCACACTCACCATGCACACACACCCATGCACGCTCACCATGCACACACACCCATGCACACTCACCCAACCATGCAAACATACATGCACACGCACCCATGCACGGACACCCATCCACCCACGCACAGACAAACATGCACACAGCCATGCACATGCACCCATGCACACCCTCCCATGCACAAACACACACACACACACACAAACCATGTACACTCACCCAGGCACGGACATCCACCCACCCATGTACACCTACACATGCACACACACCCCCACACACACACATGCACATGCACGCACAGACACCATGCACCCACACCCATGCACACCCAGCCACACAAACACACACACATGCACTCACCCAGGCCCGGACACCAACCCACCCATGCACCCCCACACATGCACA